CTGCTCTGGCAGTGATAATGTGGGTTTGGAATGGTTCGTAACATTTTTATAATTGTAACGAGTAACGATGCAGCACATAAAAAATCTATCGGAGTAAAAGTATTAAACTCATCGAAAATATGTACTGAAGTAAAAGTGGAAGTAGGAGAAAAAAACAATGCTCCAGTAGAGTACAGATACGGCCTTTTAGTACTTAAGTACAGTAGTGAAGTAGTTCTACTTCGTTACTATACATCTCTGCTTTTAGCTGCTCTAATGACCCCCATTGGTGGCTCCCCCTTGTGACCATCAGGATTAATGTCACTCACTTTGACTGTTACAATGGATGACGAGGTGCCATCTAGGTTCAGACTGTTTCCTGTTTCAGTTTTATTGACACCAGTGAGTGCAAAGATGCGCTCAGCACCTGCATCGGCGTGCGGTCGGGTGAGAGCAGGTTTGGCGCTTGCTGATGATCTGGGGAAGCTGCTTGTTCCAGTGACATATAAAAACCGGGCGAGGCATAAGTACAGCTTACCACACCATGGTAAACAGCTTACTGTACCTCACCATGGTAAACAGCTTACCACTTCTAACACTGACAGGGGACTAAACACAATGCTGTATTCTACCATAATGAGAGAAACACTGCAGCACATCAGAAATAGGCACTTGGTGTCCGTCAGATTACTGCACAGATCCGCTCACTGCCAGTGAGGATGGCTTCCTTAATTATATAGGGAATGTGCTGAATTTGTTCTTGTATATTAACATCTCACCGGGGGTTGAGGATTCACCAGGGAAAGAAAAAAGTAGGAAGAGAGACAGGGACCTCGCATTGATTCCTTTCTGCGAAAGGGGTCAAATCAGTCGAGTGAAGCGCAGCAGCTGGATGCAAACCATAGCTTGCAGTGCATCAATACCACTGTAATGGGGGATGTAAACTCAAGCACAGAGGCAATATCAGCACTCAGACATGCTGACATTGTGGGGAATGTTCAGCACGGAAGAGGATGCCTTGGATTAACAACTAGTCGCCCAGCCTGGAGTAAGGCCACTGCTCCAGTACGGAGGAGGATGGTGGTGGAGGAAGTGTGCCTTCAGGAGGAGGCTGCAAGGTGGGCCAAGGCAGTCTCCCTCAGTAAACAGGGGCAGTGGACGCGGTAGGACAGTGTCGAAAGGAGGAAGCTCAGCTGGAATGATGTGTGGGTTAAGGAGGCAATGAGTTTGAGCTTTACCATGGATAGTATACAATGGATAGTGCTTCGGAATAGTGCTATCCTGTGTTTCGGAATCTTGACACTTACCTGCATGCACCTAGCGAGGAAACGGATATTATTTTTTCGACTCACTCTTTCTACAGACTAGTCATAGATGAAAACAGTCGAAGCTCATAATGTTAATTAAAAGTAGGCTCTTCAGCTGAGCAGAGTTCAAAAAACATAGACAATTAACAGTATCCATTGTGTTCTCCCATCTACGACACATCTATGAAAGAAAACCCCATTCATAGCATTAGCTAGCTAGCTCTGCCATAACCAGCAGGACTGGAACTATTCCTTTGCTAAACTTTGCTGCTGTATCTTGTTAGCTGACGTTACTTTGTTAGAGCTTTGCTTGTTGCACCACTTTCCCCTTCGTCTCCAAATTGTATCCTGTGTCTTTGGAGTAACTAAGGATGCTTTGTGCTGCATTATAAAGATATCGTAGACGAGAGCTTCATAAGTCAGTCATAATGCATAATGCATATGACTATAATGTGTTTAGCATTTTAATTAATATTTATGGCTGGGTTTATAATACTTTATGAATGCATTGCAATTCATTATGAAAGTATGTGTAATGCAGTATAATGAATGCTTTAAGTAAAGTTTTGCCAAGATACCCAGCAACACCAACGTGTGGGCAGCCCTTGTCACATACTAACACACACAGCGCTCTAAACCAGCATAACCGGCATTTCAGGGAGGTTAATGTTACAGATGGACAGAAATGTGAAATTAGGGGAGAAATTACAAACTTAGCATGAGAGTGTGAGATTGAACCGGATGACAGGTGTAGGAATTATTAGCTCAAATTAATTTTAATATTCTCCACCAATATGTTTGAAATTAATTAAAGTTTAATTAATTATTATTTAATGCTGATTATTAACCAATTGTTATGCCGAATGGTCGGCTCCTCCAAACTCAATTGTGGTATCCCTGTGAGTCTGTTAATGTGAGACTTAAATGGGATTCACTAATTACCAGTATCGCTTAGTAACCTGGGTTAGAAGGCTCGTCCAGCGAGCTGCATCACCAGGTAATGTGAACGATTGGTAGCGAAGCTCCCCTCACGGCCAATGAGAGAGAGTCTCGCGATATTTCAGGTGAGTTTGAAGTTTCAGAGCGTGTAGCAAGATCGCACAGAGGCAGGGACTATTGTGAGCACTCAATGAACGGAGGCTGAAGTCGTATAAAAGAAATGCATTTATTCCTAACACTACAACTAATATAAGACAGACATTACACTTAACTCAAACAAACAAACACGAAATAACGGAATAGAAACAAACAATGTAATTATGTAAATGCAATGACCGGATTTAAATGAATAACCTTAAAAAGGGAAAATACTGTTCTGCAAAGCAAGAATTAGGTTGGTAGAATGAAAGGAAGTTGGTTTACTTGGTTGCAGAGTGGGGGGGTCTTGGCAGTTGGTTGCAGAGCTGATGAGCTGATGGGATGATGGCACTCAGGAAGGCATGGTGTTTGGAGCAGTGGAGTGGAACCCTTTTGATTCTCTCTCCTGGTGAAGCTTTGTCTTGGTTGCTGTTCAGCTGGGCCTTCACCGGAGGGCTTCTTGTGGGCTTCTCTTCTCCTGGACTGATGTTCTCTGCCTCTCTTCGGGCTGATGTTCTTTTCTTTGCTCTTGGGCTGATGGTCTTTCTGCTCCCTGATGATCTTTCTTTTTTTGATTTGTTCTGAGGTGCCAGGTTTTATAATCTAAAGTTCATGAATAGGGATGACCAGGAATTCGACTCCTGGCCCAATGGCTGGCCATCCATTTGGCAGGCTTTCGGAAGGGGGTCCGTATCAGTCCTTTTGAGATTTATGACCCGACTGATTCTCCCTTTACTGATGATTTTCGTTAAGCTGGTATAACTTTTGATACATCCACTTTCATGGTAACCACTGACCAGATTTGGAATCAGGAGTGATTGTCCATCAGTTTGACACCAAACATGCTATACCAGCTTCATAGGTTCACACCTCATACCATCTGTGTTAATTGATTAACAATTATTTATATTGTGTATGTGACTGACTCACATCAGTATGTGATACAGGTGTTTTTGGTTGCACCTCAACAAATGTTACACTTTCTTCAAACATTACATTACATATTCACATTAAAAACAGCACATCTTATCCTTAGATAGGCGTGGCCGTTAGTTTGTGGTAATATCAATATAAGTTGCACATCTTGACACAACATATTTTGGTTGGTGTGGCTTAT